CCTCTTGTTGGCCTATCTACATACTGTGTCAGGAAACCCTCCTGCACACATTGGACAAAAACTGACCCATCTAAAGTACTCGAACTATAGCGTTTCCAGTCAATACTTGGAAAGTTAAAGTCCCCCATAACAACTACCCTGTTACTTTCACTCCTATCCAGAATCATCTTTGCAATCTTTTCCTCTACATCTCTGGAACTTTTCGGAGGCCTATAGAAAACTCCCAACAGGGTGACCTCTCCTTTCCTGTTTCTAACCTCAGCCCATCACTACCTCAGTAGACGAGTCCTCATCAAACATCCTTTCTGCCACCGTTATACTGTCCTTGACTAACAATGCCACACCTCCCCCTCTTTTACCACCTTCCCTGATCTTACTGAAACATCTAAACCCCGGAACCTGCAACAACCATTCCTGTCCCTGCTCTATCCATGTCTCCGAAATGGCCACAACATCGAAGTCCCAGGTACCAACCCATGCTGCAAGTTCACCCACCTTATTCCGGATGCTCCTGGCATTGAAGTAGACACACTTCAAACCACCTTCCTGCCTGCCGGTACACTCCTGCGACCTTGAAACCTTATTCATGACGTCACTACTCTCAACCTCCTGTACACTGGAGCTACAATTCAGGTTCCCATCCCCCTGCTGAATTAGTTTAAACCCTCCCGAAGAGCATTAGCAAATTTCCCCCCCAGGATATTGGTACCCCTCTGGTTCAGGTGTAGACCATCCTGTTTGTAGAGGTCCCACCTACCCCAGAATGAGCCCCAATTATCCAGGTGTCTGAATCCCTCCCTCCTGCACCATCCCTGTAGCCACGTGTTCAACTGCTCTCTCTCCCTATTCCTCGCCTCACTAGCATGTGGCACGGGTAACAAACCAGAAATAACAACTCTGTTTGTTCTAGCTCTAAGCTTCCACCCTAGCTCCTTGAATTTCTGCCTTACACCCCCATCCCTTTTCCTACCTATGTCGTTGGTGCCTATGTGGACCACGACTTGGGGCTGCTCCCCCTCCCCCTTAAGGATCCCAGAAACACGATCCGAGACATCACGGACCCCACAACCTGGGAGGCAACACACCAACCGCAAGTCTCTCTCGTTCCCACAGAATCTCCTATCTGTCCCCCTAACTATGGAGTCCCCAATGACTAATGCTCTCCTCCTCTCCCCTCTTCCCTTCTGAGCAACAGGGACAGACTCTGTGCCAGGGACCTGTAACCCATGACTTACCCCTGGTTGATTCTAATCGGTCCAGAAATTGCCCTGAGAAATAAGTCAATGAACTGTTATAACCTAGACAAACAGGAGGCTGGAAGAACACAGCAGGCCAAGCAGCATCTGGAGGAAAGGAGAAGTAAACATTTTGGGTATTACCCTTCTTCAGGACTGGATGTGGGGTGGGGTGAGTGGAAGGGTGGGTAGCAGAATGGTGGTAATTGGTGGGTATCGGTAGTAGGTACGACCTGGTTAGTCGATGGGAGGGATGAATCTGGTTGGTAGCTGGAAGGAAGGATCAGGAGGTGAAATGGCAGGGAGGAGGTGGGGCTGGAAAGGGAGCCAGGGGTGGATGGGAAGGTTACTTGAAATTGGAGAACTCCATGTTGAGTCCTCGGGCCATAGGGTGCCCAGGTGGGAGTTAAGGTGTTGTTTCTCAAATTTGCATTCCGAATCGCCAAGGATGGACATGATGGAGGGGATGTTGGTATCGAAATGGGCGGTGAGCGGGAGATAGGCTGGCCGTTATGGGCCAGGCAAAGATGCTCGGGAAACTGTCTGTAGTCTACGTTTGGTCTCACCGATGTACAGAAGACCACATCGGGAGCACCGGATGCAGTCGACTTGGTTGGAGGATATGCAGGTGAAGCTCTGTCTCACCTGGAAGGACTGTTTAGGGCCCTGGAGGGAGGTGGTGTGTGGGCAGGTGTTGCATCTTCTTTAGTTACAGGGGAAGGTACCGAGGGGGTTGGAGTGGTTGACTCAACATTGAGTTCTCAAACTTCAAACAACCTTCCCACCCTTTCCCCGGCTCCCTTTCCAGCCCCACTTCCTCCCTCCCAGCTACCAACCGGTTTCATCCCCACAATCGACTAACCAGGTTGTACCTACTACTGGTGTATACCTCTTGCCATCATTCCGCTAACCCCCATCCCCCTGTCTTTATCTGCAGCTCCCCCTACCCCCACATCCAGTCCTGAAGAAGATTATACCCAAAAAGCTGACTTCTCCTACTTTCCTCCAGATGCTGCCTGGCCTGCTGTGCTCTTCCAGCCTCCTGTTCGTCTACCTTGGATTCCAGCATCTGCAGTTTTGTTTTTGTCTGTTTTGTTGAGTTGAAACATTGTTCTATGTGTGCATGTGTGTTCTTTCTGTCTGCAAAGAATGGAGACCAATATATTAATATGTAGCTTCTAATAAACACAGGTGTGTGAACATCCTCGAGACTGTCACTTTTGGTCCAGACTACCTGAGATTACTCTGAAAGTGTAAAGTATCTCATAGGTATGGGTAGCAGGTGAAGCTAGCTGTTCCATGCTGCTATAGGAGCAGTGTTCGCCACTAACAGGACGTTGCCATAAAGCCAAAAAAAATAGTCTACTGATCTCACAAATGAGTATGTGGTTGATGAATTTCAGTGTGATGTCAGCTATGTAGGGCATACACCCTGAAGACTGGCAGATTGTATCAAACAACATATTCCTCAAGTATTGGAAACAAATAAGGTACTAACTGTACACAACCAGGCCACACTTGCAAAAATGACAACACAGTGTCCAATATTAAATGTGATTTTGCAATTGGAGATCATTTGCTGAATAATCCTGAGTGTGAAAAATTATTTTGACAACTAATTTAGGATTGTCACTTTGACCTGCAGTGTGTCACACTTATTTATAATGGCATCTACGTAAATTACAACATAGGGGCCAGTTCTTTGCAGTCAGAAAGAACATGTACACAGACTGGCCATTTTAACTCAACAAAATGGGTTCATTTCTTTTTAGGGCAATGCTGTGATCAATCACAGTAAACCTTCCTGATTTAAAATTTAAACATAGCTCAGTAGTTAACTTTCAATCATCAATAATGGGTGCATTCTCAATTTCAGTGTCTCTACCAATCAGAGAACATTTGTCAACCAATCAGCACTCTTCTCTCATACTGTATAAATATTGAATTTTTTTTCTCCTTGAATTGGTATTCTTGTGAATTGTCATGGTAAGTGCAAGATAAAAAGCTTCAATAAAATGTCTTTTATTCAGCAATATACATTTTTAGAGGGTTGAATTGCTATGTTATGTGGAGCTCACCTTGTTGCTTTTTTCTCCCTAGTCTTTCAGGTTACAGCCCACAGGAACACCAGGAACTTACCTGATCCAGACTAGCTCAAGTCAAGGTCTTCCTATAACACTGACAACAAGTCCAACAGTTACCCTTACCTCACCATCCTCTCCAGAACAGATTATTGTGCACACACTCTCAGTAAGTATGGATTTATGAACCTGTTCATGTAGCTTTGAAATATTAATATGATTATACAGTTTTCCTCAAGTACTTAATATAATGATCATGGTGTAAGTTTGACACCGATGGAAACTTAGTATGAAATATTAACGTGAAATCTTAGCATGAAATATTTCAGTTTTGAACAAAGTATCTTGATTATTTTTTTCTTTCATGCTAACTTGGGATCAATGACTCATTTTAGATTTCCTGTCAGCACCTGGTGATAACATAAAATATCGCTAAGTCAAGTCAGAATTTGTAAGCTTTTGGTAAACAACCTCCACAGCATAGCTAAATCTTACTGCATTTTGTATCAAATACCTGTATGCACCCTGGTTGTGAAATGTAGCTGACATTGAGATGTCATCGAGTTAGCCTGCCTATGAGTACACCTGAATTCCACTCCCTAAGCACCTGGCAAATAAATGATGTATGCTTATGGTGAAACTCCGTGATGGTTGCCCAGTATAATATAGATGGAGCTGGAGTATTGTTTGCAGTTATGTTTGCCATACTATAAGAAGGATATGATTGCTGTAGAGAGGGTGCAGAGGAGATTCACTGGGATGTTGCCTAGGCTGGAGTGCTTTAACTATGAAGAGAGACTACATAGGCTAGAATTATATTCCTTGGAGAAGAGAAGGCTGAGGGTAGGCCCTGATTTGAGATCTACAAAATTATAAAGAACATAAATCTAATCAATAAGATGAAACATTTTCCCCTTAGTAGACGGGTAAATGCTAGGGGGCATGGATTTAAGGTAAAGAGTAAGAGGCTTAGAGGGAATTTAAGGAAAATTTTATTCATCCAGAGTGTGGTAGGTCTGGAACCACTGCCTGAAAGGGTGGTAGAGACCGGGACCATTGCAACATTTAAGAAGTATTTAGATGATCACGAAGTGCCATATAGCATACAAGGCTATGGACCAAGGCTGGGAAATTGGATTTGTGTAGATAGGAGCTTGCTGACAGTCATGGATACAATAAACCAAAAGGCCTCTATCCAATTTGAAAGATCCTTCTAACTCTGAAATTCTTGGAAAACAACAGTCTTGGAATGATATTGATATTCTATTGTTTCTCTTAAGAAATATTTCAGTAACTAGGAACTGTTGTGTTAAATGTATTATTGACAAGACTAAAAGCCATAGGAGCAGAAGTAGGTCATTCAGCCCTTCGACTCTACTCTGTCATTCAGTAAGACGCCACTTTCCTGCCTTTACCCCAAACCCGTTGATTCCTTTACTGATTAAAAATCTGTCAGTCTCAAATTTGAATATAGTTCCAGCTTCCACAGCCTTCTGTGGTGAGGAATTTCACAGATTTACTACTCTCTGAAAGAAGAATTTGCACTTCATCTCTGCCTTAAATGTGCAATCCCTTACCTTGCTGAAATTATATCCTCTGGTTATAGACTTTTGCACATGGGCGAACAACTTTTCTGCATCTACCCTGTCATACCCTCCCTCTACATCTTGCGTTTCAATAAGGTCTCTTATTCTTTTAAATACCAATGAGTACAGGCCCACCTATTCGATCATGCATAAGAAAATTCCTTGATAACCAGAATCAACTTAGTGGACCTTCTCTGAACTTCACTTTATACCACTATTTTTCCTTCAACAAGAAGACCAAAACTATTCACAGTATTCCAGCTACAGTCTGACTAGTGCCACATGTAGTTTTAGAAAGACATCCCAGTTTTTACTGTGACTGTACAAAACCTTACAGCAAATTGTAAGCACTTTTATTCTATTTATGTCCGTATCTCTCCAGTATAAATCCTTTAAATCTAAATAGTTTTCTGAACTACTACTGTGTCCAGTTAGCAGTATGTGGTTGTTTAAAGGGTATAATTCATGTTTTGAGTGCTGAGTTTTAAAAATATTATTGGTAAAAATATTTTGTTGACCCAACCAACTCTGACATCTCTCTGCAGCCTGAGGCTCTTCTTCACAGTAGTAATGAAAACGTCAGCGTACAAATGACACACCCAAGTGTCATCATCCATGCTGTTGCCACTGATGACATCACTTCTTCAATAACCCAAGCTGACTTGACTGTTGACTCCACAATTGACCACACAGATTTGACAGAGAATCAGATTAATTCCACATCACTTGAAACCGATGCCTACAGCGAGATTGATCATGCAAAGTTAACTGAAGACCAAAGCACGGTTCATACAGACCTTACTGAAACGGAAATTGCCCGCTCAAACCTTAACTCTGATAATAGTGAAGAGGTGATGGGTTCAGAAGTAAATATTGATGACTCCGACCTCAGACAGAATGTTGAAGTGCAATCTGATCTAAGTGGTGCTTATGTGACTGAGGTAAGAGTTGTAAAAGTCACATTTCACTAAATTAAGCACAAATTGAAGATGTAAAAATTATTATTGTATACATGTAGTTCTTTCAAATAACCATTGTAGAGAATGCTATATAACTCGGATGAATTTCCGTACTCAGCATTAATATTCATAATATCACATTATTGTAAAATATTGTGAAATATTTTCATTTATTAAGCCAAATATTACATAATTCATGTTTCCAATGCTGTGATTGAATTTGGGGTGTATTTTGTATGTTTCTCAGTAACTGCTTCTGTTCAATAGGCTCTACGTTCTCCCAATATTGAATCAGGCATTGACGAAGAAACCACACTTATCGTTTCATCGAATCATGGGTTTATTCAGTCAACAGATGATATTGACAATGACTCAGTTTTGCCATTAACAACATTGACTGGTAAGTGATTTTATTTTTGTACGGTTAAATGCAAATCTCTTTCCTTAAATATGTATCTACAATTTTAAAACCTCATGAAGAAAGTAACTCAATAAACCTGTTTGTATATCTGAAAAAATAGTGACTTCAAAATGCTGTTGTTTTTTTGAATAGTTTCAATCTTTTGTAACGTAAGCAGCCTTGGTGTTTCCCAGGGATCGCTTCTAGGGCTGCTCCTTTTCTTGACATGTCCGGTAACTTATGTGCAACAACCACCCACATTAAAAGATCCTATGCAGTCATCTTTCGTCCCAGCCTCCTTTCCTTTAATATTTCCTGCCATTGCATGGATTTCCAGAACCGGACGTCAATGTGTCTACATGCTAATCAGCGTAGCAGACTCTCCCGAGCAGTTGCGCAACTTAGAGGGAACATTGGCCCCAACAGTGACAGACCTGAACATCCTCTGCTTTCATATCCTAGAGGATGCCAGCTATGATATTGACACCCCTTCCCTGAGTGAGACCTGGCAGGCAGGAAAAGAACTCTGCTCAAAGAACAAGTTGTCAGAGGGTATCTAAGGAAGAACAAAGACTCCATGGAAATGGTTTTGCCATAAAACAAGCTTGTTGAGCATCTTAATGAGTTCCTTTGTGGAATATGAACCCTTCAAAACCATTCAGCTCACCTATCCCAGGAGCAGTATACCAGTCCTCAGTGTGTATGCCCCAAAGTGGAGTTCACCTCCAAGCTTGATCAGTTGTTCTCCTGCCTCCCAAAGGGAGACAAGTTGATTCTCCTTGGTTTCAAAACCAGAGTTGGGAGGGAAACAAACCTTTGGAAAGGTGTGATTTGGCTGGGAAGGCACAGGGAAGTGAAACACCAACACCATTCTCCTGACCAAAATGCTGAAGGCATAGCCTGGTCATAACAATTGCCCTATTTTATCAGAGAGGCAATTCAAGTCCCCATGGAAACACCCTCACTCCAGACACTGGCACCTGCTTAAATACATTATTGTTAGAGTGTTGGGCTCAAAAGATCATTGCAGGACAGGAGCTGACAATGACTGGACCAACTATGTCTATATCAGCCTGAGCAGAAGCATGGTTGCAGGACATGCAATATTGATGGACTTTGTGAAGAAAGATCTACTGAGGCAGTGCCTCAGCCAACTTGATAATGCTTAATGAAAAGAAGCTTCAGTGTCCACAGTACCTGATCTGCCATTAAATCCATCGTAAACAGAATCTACAAGGAGTTTCTCTCCCAGGATGAATAGAGAATGCTTTGATGAGAATGACCAGAAGATCCAGGAGCTGCTAAATCATAAACATAGGGTGGTTCTGAACAGCAAACACCACCAAAACGTGAAGGAAAGAAAGCAACTCTACAGATAAATGAGGCCAAGGTCCAACAAAAAAAGTGATCTAAAGAACAGATGGCAGGCAGAAAGAGTGCAAGAAATCCAGCAACTCACCAACAGTCACAACGGGCTTAGATTCTTCAGCACATTTAGGACCATCTGCAACAGGGCTACTTACAGCTACAAATGGAGGGACACTGAACAAGTACAGAAACTGAGTCAGTAGCACTTCCAAGGATGTTCTCAACCAAGATTCAGCCCTCAATGTGGGTACCCTTGACCATATTCCATGACGTACTACCTGTCACCACCACAACACAATCCCAACCCGATGTGAGGATGAAAGGACAGTCCAACAACTGAAAACCAGCAAGGCTATGATTGCTGATTGTTTTAGCATTTCAGTGAGAATTCATAGTGGAGAAGCACTTTTGGCACAAATGCATAACCTCCTATCCCTCACCTTTGAAGGAGGCAATCATAACACTAAGATTATAGGAGCAAAATTAGGCCATTCGGCTGACCAAGTCTGCTTTGCCATTTGATTGTGCCGATTTATGTTTCTCCTGCCTTCTCTCTGTAACCCTTGATCTCTCTCCTAATCACAAACCTATCTACCTCTGTCTTAAATACACTCAATGACTTGGCCACCATAGCCCTCTGCAGCAATTAGTTCCACAGATTTGCCACCTCCTGACTGAAGTAATTCCTCCGTATCTCAGTTCTAAAGGGTCGTCCCTTCATTCTGAGGCTGTGTCCTTGGATCCTAGTCTCTTCTTCTAATGGAAACATCTTCACATCCAATCTGTCAAGGCCTATCAACATCCTGTAAGTTTTAATGAAATCTCCCTCATCCTTCTAAACTCCATAGATTCCAAGTCCTCAACTACTTCTAATATGACAAGCCCTTATTCCTGGGATCCGTTCTATAAAGCCCAAGGGACTTAGAACATCCTCCTCAAATTTGGCTCCCTGCAGAAATTCATCACCATTCTCCACCAGCGATGCAGAGTAATATCAGCAGTGTGGTCCAATTCCTGTACCTGATGAGGTTACAATGAAGGACTCTCCTCAATTTCTCTTCTCATTTAATCCTCAGATAAAACCACCACGAGTCACCTCTAAGAGAGCATCTCTGTGATCCAGTAGGACTATGATGACTCTATTTTTTACCTTTACTGCTCATAGGCCAGCATCTCTCAAGCATCAAGGCTGTGGTTACTGTAAGGCATGTTGGGCAAGCCCCATCATCCACAAGCCTGAAGTAAGACTCCAAAACAAGCTTTCTACTCCATCACAGCAAGCAGTTACCAGGAGGAAAACAGAAGAATGTCCTCAAAACTGCCCTGAAAAAAACATAATCACCAACTCTTGCCACAGACAAAAAACTGGAGAAGGAGCATCCTTAACAGGACCAGGTGGAGACTGAATGCAAACAAGGACTGTGTGAAAACCTCCGGATTCCATTCACACATCTCATCAAACACTGCTCGCCTCACCAATGACAGTGGGTGCAGATCATGCATTAGTCTATTTAGTCATCTCAGGACAACTCCAGAATACAAGATCATCTTTGGTCTCCAGGGACTGCCTAAGAAGGATGGTCAGGATGGTGGGAAAAGGCAAACATTTGCAGACAAAATTTAAGGCAGAGGAGTTTGATGTAGCACATTTAGATGATTGAAAAGATCAAAGAAAACTTTAATTTATATACTGTTGTGCTTTTCACAACCTCAAAGTCTCAAACCAATTTATAGCCACTGAAGTAATAATCACTGATGAATGCAGGAAATACAGCAGCTATTTTGTGATGAGCAAACTCCTACAAACGCTAATGATCATAAGCAGATTATTCTGGTAATATTGACTGAGGCATAACCTCTCTTACATTGAACCTGTCAAACAGATAAGGTTTCAGTTTATCATCCTATCCAACTAACAACATCACCAGTGTAGCATTCACTCAGCAACTGCACTGGAGAGTTAGCCTTGATTACGTGCTCAAGGTTGGAGTGGGACTTGAACGCTGAGTCTTTGTGGCTCCAAGACAACTGAGCCACAGCTGACATACAAGAGGAGGCACAATATAAAGGATGTAATTCTGAAAGGGTGCAGAATCAGATATTTGGGGTATATGTGCACAGATTACTGAAGGTGAATAGCTTGAGGAATGGGTAAAAAAATGTATGATTATGGGCTTCAAAAAGAAAGTACAAAAGCTGTTCGGGTGCGGGGGGGGGGGGGGCCGTGAGAAAAACCAAAGAACTGCAGATGCTGCAAATCAGCAACCCAAACAAATTGCTAGAAAATCTCAACAGGTCTGGCAGCATCTGTGGGGAGGAATCAGAGTTAACATTCCAGGTCTAGTGACTCCTCTTCAGAACTGATGGGAGCTAGAAAAAAGATTTTTTTTCATGCAGAAGATGGGGGAGGGGGTAAGGAGTAAACAATAGGTCAAGATAGAACCTAAAAAAGAGAAACAACAGTTGGTCAGACTAAGGAGTGGATGACAGTCAGCCTAGGGGAATGAATAATTGCTAATGGGGACTATTGATGGGTTGTGGCTAACAATGGGCCTAGCGTGAGGGTTTTGGAGTAAGGACAGGGGAGGTGCCTGAAGCCCTAAAATTGTTGAACTCAGTATGGAGTCCAGAAGGTTATAGAGTTCCCAAGAGGAAAATATGGTGCTATTCTTGTAGCTTGTGCTGAGCTTTGCTGGAGCACTGCAGCAAGCCTGAGAGACGTTGGCCAGGGAACAAGGTGGTACGTTGAACCTTTTATAGATCACTGGTCTGGCCTAGATAGCATAGTTGTTCAGTTTTGAGCACTACACTGAGGAAAGATGTTAATATATTGGAAGGGTTATAAAAATAGATTTGCAGGAATGAGGGACTTGAGTTCCATGATGGATTAGAGAGCTGGAACTGCAAGAAGAGCGATTGAATGTTCAAAACACAAAGGGGTTGCATAAGGGTAAGTCGAGAGAATTGTTTGCAGTAGGTGATGGATTAAAAAGCGGAGACCACAGATTTAAAGTGATTGGCCAAAGAATCAAAGGTTACACAAGGAAAATGATTTTTAAATATCAAGTAATTTTAAGATCTGGAATGCACTGCCTGTGTGTGGGGGGGGCAGGCAAATTCAAGGAAATTGTATAAGCACCTGAATGGAAAACATTTGCATACCTGCATAAAAAGGGCAGAGAGCAGAACTAGCTGAGGTGCTCTTAGAGAACCAGCATGGGCCTGATAAGCTGAATGGACTCTTCCTATGCTGTAAACATTCTTTGCAACATTAGTATGAAATGCTTATGCTTTTGAATATGAAGCCTTTCTTTTTTCACTAATGGTACCAAGTAAGTGAGAGATGTCAGTGCTAGAGAATGGACACTTCTCCATTTTGTGCACCCAATGTCAGCATCATCACATACAAGCCCAGCTTGGTAATGCAGGGTAAATGTCATTTTTTTTTTTAAAAAATTCAGTCACAGGGTGTGTATGTCACTGGCAAGGCCAATCTTTGTCTTCCTTAATTGCCCTTAAAGGAGAGGAACATGCATGTGGTAGTATTCAAATGCCCTTTACCTTCTCAGAGGTCAAAGCCACAAGGTGGGAGTTGCTGCAGTACATCTTAGATGTTAAGAACTGCAGCCACATTTGGTCAGCGGTAGATAAATGCTTTTGGACCTATTCCATCACTCCTGACTCATATCTTGTAGTTAGTTAATCTCAAAGTTTTGAAGAGTCAGTAGTTGAGTTATTTGGCACTATGCAATTTTTTTTAGAAATTACATTATTGATGGCTGGTCTGATTAATAGTAACCCCTCAGGATGTTAGTGGCGGGAGAATCAAACGGTAAAACCACTGAACATAGTGAACTATTATTGCAATTCTTGTATTGGAGATGCCCATTTCCTGCCACTTAAGCCTGAATGTTCTTCCAGTTTGCTGCACCAAACAGCCATTACCTTAAGTATTAAAGCACAAGGGAACAATAATGTTCATCATCTTTATAGCCTCTAAGACAAAGCACCCAACTGATCAAGTCCATTCATGTGAATCCTTCCGTATTCTATCCTTTAAAGAAATGACTATTGGTAAAACATCCAAGTGAGTAATCCTTTCACAAAATTTCCTGATCACTGTAGGTAGCTTAAAGTAAAAATCTGATTTCACAACTTATGAACCAAGATATGCGTCCTTTGTCTCAGCAGCACAAAAATCCTCATCCACAAATATTTCTTCATCTGCACTTATCCTTCTACCCTTTTAATTATTTTTAAAAAGGCAATCTACATGGTATTAAGTGTTTTTACAAGGAGTCTAATCCACATAATGATTATTTTGGGGAGCTGTTCTCCAAATCACTAGTCTTGCTCAGAACTTGTTCATCTTTTTTTTACTCCTGCCTTCTAGTTGTGTGACTTTTATCAGAACATTGAAATTGAGCCAGGCTCCAGACCTCAAAACAACCTTGATCCAGCCATGGACGCAAGAGCTGAATGCCAGAGATGAGGTAAGAGGAGCTGTCCTTGACAGCAAGGTATCAGTCAACCAAGTACAGTACCAAGGAACCTTAGCAAAACTAGACATCATTTGGGGGGTCAATAGGAAAACTCTTCAAATGGCTTGCATCACACCTGGTATAAAATAAGATTGGTCCTTGATGAAGCCAGTCACTGCACTTTCAACTCGCCCCTCCAATTCAGTGGATGGATACAGTATATACTCCAGAGATTGGAGCTGAGGCAGTGCAAACTAGCTCTGTGTATTTGAACCCCTGTAGGGAGTGCTTGATGCTGATATTTGGGTTTCTGAAATGAAGAGTGTTCCATTTCTTAGCACTAACTACCCTCAGCTAGATGAGTATTTTTAAAAACAAAGAATTGCCAACTTCCAGATGTCCTACAAAGTTTGGAATACCTAATTTACAAAACACTCACGAAGATTCAAATTCTCTTTTCAGATCCCATTTTACAACCCCAAGGTGACTGTTCAGACATCATTGGCTCAACATTGGAAACCCCAGATACTGATGATTGAAGAGAACTTCTGTATATCTGTCGTGCTGTCTTTTTGAGAGTGATTAATCCAGCATTGTTCACCAACTATGAAATGTCAATAGTTAATGCTCTTGATAATTCAACATTTGAATGTATGGTGCTGCCTGAGACAAACTGCATAAAATGAATAGAGTAGTTTTAGAAACAATTTAATTTCCTATGGTGCAAGTTTACTCAACAATGTAAACTAGACAATGGCACTTTGCCAAGACACCAAATTTCTAACTCTTAGAAAAACTACATGACCTTTCCCCTCAAATTAGGTCAATGTTGACAGTATTATATCAAGTTGAGGAACTCCTCCTGATGTGGGAGCAAACAGATATTAAGTATTTTTTAACTAGATAAACAATCACTACTAAAGGTATTGAAATGTGCTTTACCAAGATCATACTTAACAGCTGTGTTTCTCATTGAATAATTCCTCTTAAGCTTTTTTAAATTCTGCAAGTCAAAGATACTGAACCAAGTTGCACATTCTTTGAGCGGAAAAGGGGTTTTTGATATGTAATTCTTAATGTGATTTAAATACACGTTTCATATATCTGTTTACAGAATTTCAGAAACATGTATACCAAGACTTTTTAGTTATATGGAGAAAGAACATTCCCTTCTCCCCCTCAAAGAAACTACTTTTCACTATTGTGTAGGTGAGGTACAGGCATGTACATGCTAGGGGCCTAGGCTTAAATGGAGAGAATTGTACCTACCAAAAGCAAACTTGCACTACAGTGACAATAAATTTAAATACTTGTCAAAAATTGAGACCTCCAGGAATCAATTAGTATTCAACTTATTTTTGTGTACAAAAAAAGTGTAGACAAGTTCAGTGTATATAAATTATTTTATTACTATTTATTCTTTAAAACAAAGTCAATGCTTTCTTACAGTTGTATTGTCTAGTATTGGTTCACAGGCTTGGTTTGGCTATTTTATTGTAAAAATCCAGTAGTTAAGTGGCTGCATAGTGCAATTATTTCATTACTTAAGACAAAATAAAAGTATATTTGTCCTGCAGTATCTTTATTTCTACTTTGTGTTGTACTTTAACATGTCATTTGTCCTTCAAGTGCTTTATATAATTAAAAAAACAATTTGCATGAGAGAGAGAAAAACATCCTTTACAAAAAGAGTGTGTGTGATCTCAAAACCTTGGCAAGTCTGGAATGTTCATTTAGTGCAAGTCTTAAAATGTATTTTGGAAAACAAATTGCATTAATGTTTGTGGCATCAATCCCAGCTCATGTAGGAAAGAGTCTGCATCCAGTACGCCTCAAGTTCTGTATTACAATACGAAGCTGGTAAGGAAATTCACTTCACATTTACAAAACATTTTTTCTTGCTGTGCAAACCAGAAATTCCATTTCTACAGTAGAGAACTTCATTTGTCATCTTCATTTATCAACACGTGATAGACAGCAAGTGAATTGGAGCGGATACTGAAAAGTCATTTACCAACATCATGGAAGTATAAGTTGGCACATATGCACAGCAAAAGGATGGAAAATAAATTGTAGTAGATTAGATTCCGAAATTTAGGTTCCAAGTCACCTTGGCGATACCAGAAAATCTGAAAAATATTAAATAAGGCTGCACTAAATGTCAGATCCACTTATTTTACATAAACTGCTACAGGCACTTCAAATGGTTGTGTACGGGGCATAGAAGTTCTCAGTAGAATCTGGATGTATTTTGCAAATTGATATTTTACATAAACATATGGCCTCTTGTATGTAAAGAACCGAGACCATACATAGTTTCCCCATGGCTTTCCATGCAAAAAGCAATTTAACAGCATTTTCAGTTCATGTCTATGTTTGGATTGTATACAGGAGATCAGAGATCAAAGATCCAAAATAGAATATCAGTCAACCAATAGATTATTTGCAAGGCTTCAAAATGAAACCCTAAGCCTACAATAGATTATTTATAAATAATGAGTTTGTCGGCTTTGTGAACACAAAAATGATAGGATTTATTTATATTCCTTCAATGGACTGGTAGGCCAGGCACATGTTGGGATACCCAATTGAAGAAGGAATTTCAGCATGTTTGGAAAGTTTCACTGGTAGACTGTATCATTGTCAAAAGGTATATTCACGAAACTACTTTAGTCACCTTTCAAAGGGCCATTTGGTGTAAGCAGTTCCACAAGATATAGGAGCAGAATTAGGCCATTTGGCCCATTAAGTCCGCTCAGCCATTCAATCATGGCTGATATATTTCTCAACCACATTCCCCTGCATTCTCTATGTAACGCTTAATCCCCTTACCAAACAAAAACTTCTGTCTTAGTCTCCACAGCCCTCTGTGGCAATGAGTCCCAAAGATTAACCAGCTTCTGGCTGAAAAAAATCCTCATCTCAGCTCTAAAAAGGGTCTTCCAATTCTGACCCCAAGCTGACTCAACCTGCCAGCTTCCTGACGGCAACGGCCCTGCAAAATATGAACAAAATATCCATCCACCAAGACTTCAGCTGCTACAAGTATTTGGGGCAAAGACACAGCACTTTCAGGTCCAGTTCCAATTTTTGTCCTGATGCACATTGAGCAGTAAATTACACTGCCATTCTGATATAGGGCCACAAGATAGATAAGTTTCAAATGGACACTTCAGCAAACCCTATTTAATACAAATTTGCACTTCAAGTAATTTAATTAATTATTAAAATTACTCATATGCAGCCACTCAAACATCTACACAATTATTAAAAAATGCTATCACTTCTGAAAAACATTACAAAATTGATACTTACAAGAACACCAATGGAGGCGCAAGTCAGCAAGATGCAGACAACAAAGAAAACATTCAGTGGTTTTGGAGGTAATTGTGGGAAAACAAAAGCACTAATAATCGTTACCTGTAGAACAGAATTGGAAAAACTGACATCAGACAGCACCATCAAATGTTTATTACCCTTCCAAGGTAGTAAGGTTTGTATAAAGAAAACCTATGAGACCACCAAATTTCTTTGCCTGCTACTGATTTCCAGTCATACAATTTCATCCCTCCCCCCTCCCATTGGCTAGTCCATCTTCTTTCTAACACAATACCACCTCTGTAGTCTAATGAAACAGATAACATCTAAAATGACAACTGACCATTAGTTTTCTCTCCCCAGTGGCCTAAGAATTTGTCATTGGTTTAATGTAGAGAAATGAGGAACATTTTAGAAGAAAAAGCTTTGTAAAAGCAAAACGTAAAAATGAATAAAAGCTGGGACACTTGGAGTTTTAAATTCACAACTTCTTAAAAGTTACAGCTGAACATAAAGAAGGCCTTAGTGAATCGAGGTTTTATAAAGAGCCAAATCCAAACAGAGGTAATATTGAATCTACTTGACTACCACTTCCACTCTGCTTCCTAAAAGGGACTTAATACATTCTCCAAGTTTCTCTGGACTAAATTTGCAACCTTCCATACCAGTGCTTCTGTTACATATTTCCTCCAACCATTGAGTCTGTCCCACAACTTTTGAGGAGGCTGTCAAGAGTTCTTTTCATTTTTACACTTAACAAGCCTCTCTCCAGCTCTCAGAAACATGAAGTGCCGCCCTAGTTTTCAACACTTGGCCTCACATTCATTCGCCACCAATTTCAATTTCTCTAACCTGCTGTCACCTACAAATATTTTCCCCTCAAGATTCTAAAGCAACCATTCCTCAATCATCTTTCCACATCAGCTTTCTAAGCGAGTCAGAAGAGGCAACCCCTCCACTTTTACCTCCTCTCTTCACAATATCCAAGGGCTTTTCAAATAAATAAGCTATTTACTCATACTTCTTTCAGTTCACTACATCGTCTGCTCACAATGGGGACTTCTAAAATCAAGGCAACCACAAGCTGATCGAATGACCATTTTGCAAACCACCTCCATTCATTCCGCAATGGGACCAAGTTTCCAGTCATTTTACCTGTCCATCCTATTCCCACTATGACTTCTGCCTTCAGCACCTCATCTTTCAAATCAGATACTTTACAGAATTCCAGACTGAATACAAAGTTCAACTTCCGTTCATAATACTTTTCCATTTCTTTTGGAATGGCCATTGCCATATTACCGCTTCCCCATTAAAACATTCTTGATATACTGTTTGTTTATTGCCCTACTGGCATCTGATTTTGCCTGGCAGCATCATGCCTCTTGTAATCCAACCTCTCCCTCCATTTGGTCTCCCTTCCATGGTTCTCCATTTGCTAAAACCTGTTACATATGTCTGATACTTTCCCAATTCTGACAGAGAGTCATTTACCTGGTGTCAACAATTCCTCTGTCCACAGATGTTCCCAGACTTGTCGAGTGTTTCCAGCATTTCCGTTCTTATCCCAAATGAGATTATAACTAAAGCAGAACCTGACACGTTAAAAATCTTGAGTGTCGAGTTCAGATCCTTGTGCTTTGTCTGCATAGTTTCCGATCCTTAAACTCGGACAACTTCTTCCTTAACCATATTTAACATCACAGCTTGGTCCACAATGTGGTATAACAGGCAGCAACCACAAGCAACTATAACAATGGCAAATACTTCAAATTTGAATCAATGCCATCAATGTAGAATCTGAAGACATTGTACTGCCCTGCCCACAGATGTCCTCATTGATTACTGCATGTTTCAATTCATGAATCAAGGCCAAAAGGCTTGCACAAGGAGTTTTCATATTTATTCCTCATATTGACTGCCCAGGAAGCTAACTGAACACCAAGGGAATCAGACTCTTCAGCAACACAGGGCTGACATTTCCAAATTCCAACCTGGGTAAACAAGGGGAGGACAATTTTAAGCAGATTTCCATAAATTTGTTATTCTTCTCTTTCTTTCAAAACTCCGATCATACAGATTCATCCATCACCCCTATCCTTTCCGACCTCCAGTGACTTCTGGTCCTCTAACACCTTAAACAGATGCACAAGACAAATCAGACAGTTGAGGGATCCAAGAAGGTGATGAGACTGAACTGATTTGCAGCATACACGGAACCAGATGGGTTTTCAGGGCACTGCCGAGAGGTAGCATACAGGCAAGAAATAAGAGATTGAGGAGAAGATTCCTTTCTAATGACTGCACCTTTTCTTTGAATAATGCTATATTTTGATTTAAAGCACAACTGGATTTAAGTTGGTCCTTCAATAAACTTTAAAAAGGCACCCTACACCAAGAATGACTTTCTACTCTCGAAAACAAAATATTGAGAGTAGACTCCATTCTTGGTGTCATCATTCCTTCAGCTCAAAGTGAACCTAAGGCCCAGCTTCCCATCCTGATGGTTCAAAACAGCTCCATGGTATTATTAAGAGCTGGCGACTCTGCTGATCAACTTATTTGCTCAACCAATACCCTCCCAACCTTCACCACCCAAAAATAACTGATCATTCCATTTGCTGCTTTATTGACAGTTGCAATACGAATTTTCTGCATGACATTCAGAGCACTGCAACAAATGAAACATACTTCACCATAAAAAACTGCAAATAAATCAGGTATTAACAAAAATAAACAAGATAACTCTGATACAAATAGAGTTGCAAGTGAAACATCTTTGAAAAATGCAAGGACCTTCAATATCTGCAACTAAATTAATGTGCCATCCAGTTGTCAGTGTGCTGCCTGATCGTTCAATAGATAAAGACTCACCAACACATTTGCTTCCAGAACACTGACACTAATATTTTCCCATTACAGCAGACAGTTGGTTCATAGGAATCAAATATCCTGGTCTCAACCACTCTTCCTGGCAATCTATTCCATTGCATGTTGAAGCACAACTTCACCTACATTTTGCAACTACATGCATCGTTACTTTCTCCAAAATACTTTGATGGTATCTATATAAAATATCAATTTTATAAAACTAATTACCAATAAGTTAAGATTTGAAATCTTTCTACTTACTAGTAATAGTAAAGATGTGAGGACACCAACAACAATGTTGATGATTCGATCCTGGAAAAAAAACCGTAAGAAAGATTAAGAGACGTATGATCCAGGTCTTAAAATATTTTAAATGCCCTTTCAAATTGTATTGTACTTATCAAAAGAAAAGATGTAAGTAAAGATTACAGATTTTAATTACTTGCTTAAAATGTTGGTTACCAAACACTTGGTTAAAATATTCCTGGTTAGCTAAAGTTTAAAACGGGCAACACGTCTTCTTGATGAAAGCTGACCATTTTCTGAAGAAGGGTCTAGGCCCAAAAGGTCAGCTTTCCTGCTCCTCTGATGCTGCTTGGCCTGCTGTGTTCCTCCAGCTCTACACCTGGTTATCTCAAAAAACTACATTAATGGAGTCAATTCTTCCATGCTAATGGTTCTTCAGGTGTTTAAAATCAACTACAATACAAACAAAGTAGAACTATCAAAGAACATCTTTTACAAGAAATAATAAAGATTAGCTTTAGCAAGGGAAACGAATATCAGCAACAGCAAATTTGCTGTTGTCACAATCCCATCAAAATCTGCACTTGAAAATAATATTTTCATAAATTATACTGGAACATATGCACATTATCAGAAAATTTCAAAAATGCTGGGTTATAGAGAAACATTGTGCTGCAAATTTAACTTTAAGCAACATTGGAAGTAATAAATAAATAAATAAATAAATAAATAAATAAATACCGATTTAAAATAAATTCCAGGCACAGTTTCAACACTTAATTGTGATAGTACGTTATCCATCCTGCCATTACCGAGTTTTCTTGCCTTTACGCTAAGCTGTATAATTTCACATGTATGACTCTATGACTGTGTGAAAAGAGGACCAACTTTAAATTTATTACTCTTACATAGATACGTAGGCTTGATTAGTTGGGGCAGAACACATCACACAGTCATTGTTGCGTGGTTTCAGAGACCAAGGCACAGAGTAGACTATTCTTAAGCCTACATCAAAACCTTCACTGGGACTAACATCGTTCAGTATAGTGCAGACAGATTTTTACAGTGAACATCTATACCCTGCAAAATTAAGCATTTTCGGACTGGCAGCTAAAACATTTAGAACCACTATAATGTTAAGCTCACTACAATCTTCTCAAGGACAACTCAGAAAGCAACTCCACTTCCCATGGATTAATTTTAAAAATTTGTACTAGTTAAAATAGCAAATTTTGAAAAGGTAAATCAGAAAGAAAGACTCAAAGGAATTAACTGGAAATTATTGATTAGAGAGATAACTAGTTGAGAATAATGATAATAAGGCAACAATCAGCATTTATATTCACCAAAAAAAGTTTACAACTCTCTGAAACAGCATCCTGTGGCACTGTGGTAATATCCCTAACTCCGAACCAGGAGGTGTGTAACAGCATCTCTGAACAGTTTGATTAAAAAATATCCATAAAATCACTAGTTAGGCTCAACTGGAATATTGCGGGCTACCCTGGACACCACATTTTGGGATAGGCTTAACAAAAAAATAGTTGAAGCTTACCAACAAGTTACCAGGAATGAGGGCTTTCAGTTACCGGGAAAGGTTCAATTAGGACTATTCTCCTTGGAACAGTTAAGTGAAAAGGCAATCTAACCAAGGGTTTTCAAGTTAAAATCCCTTAACAGACCAAGAAAATTTATTCCCTCTGGCAAGTGGATCAAAAGGCAGAGATCATAGATACAAAAATCAATGGGAAAAGCATCTACAGAGACTCCATTACTAATTTTCGAAAAAGGTCAGAGAGGTTCGAGGCCATGGACCCAGCAGGATTATGGACAGATGGCAGTGATGGGGGACTAAGTAAAATTGCTCTTTTAATGAGTCAGCATAGGCATGATTGGCTGAGTGGCCTCTTTTTGTGCTGTAAATTTCTGAGTAAATGAGCCATTTTCAGACAGTAGGCACATCTGCCAAAATGTACAAACCATACAAGATTTCTGTGATGACAAAAAAATCTAGAGGGATCTCAAAAGATGCAGTATTATAAATAGCAGTTAGTACATGATATTCTGATAACTTCCACCCATTTATATGATACTCAGACATATTATACATAACATTTCCTAAATGTTGAGATCTAGCCAAACAGCACACTTTCCAAATTTCTATGTCCAACTATTTATTTGTTACCAGTTTACCAAAGTCACGTTAGAGGAAACTCAGCCACAGCATGTTTCAAACACACACGTACAACAACTGCTACAACATAAATAAAAGACAAAATAATTGATTCAACGCCAAGAAAAAAACTGGGAGGAGAGACTGTATTTAAACTGAACATCTAAAATGTACTTCAAAAGGTGAAGGTTCTTGCTTGATAACTCTAAGGACATCACAGATTAAATGAAGTGATGCTTCAGATGTGATGTTTAGAAAATTGTGTATAAATAATGAATGGAATTTAATTAACATGCAAATTTAGGAAGGGAAGTGGCAGTAATAGTCACTCAATAGTCAAAGTGAAACAAGAAAAACCAACAGAAAAATACCAGTTAGCAGGTTTAGAGACCACAGAGCTAACCACATAGTGAATGTTGAGCACACTACAGATATAGCTAGAAACAAAAAAAAAAACAAGCTATAGAAAACAGCCAAACAAAGTTTAAATTTGGGATCAACGAAAAGGATTTTCAAATCTTGAACAGTTCAGAAAACAGACAGAGCACCCTCCCCAAAATATATAATGGGCAATACATAAAATCAATATTTATTCAAAAATGCAACAAGAAAGGAAGACCACAGAAGTCAAATGGAAATTAATGGAAAACAAACAAGCAGATAACAGAAAACAAATGTGCTGCTACAAGCTCTACCAAGTTGCAAATATAATTCTACTACTTTTTGTTCACATTTCCCATTGAAACCAAAGTTGATCATTAAGAAAAATATGAAGTACTATAATTGCTAATTTTCAAGTTTTCAAACTATTCTATTCCAACTTTCTGGGATTCTTCTGTTTCCTAATTATTCCTTGTTCCCTCTGTATCAAATTTTAGATGGTAAAGATTAAAAGTTTGGAACATTAGATCAGGAAAAGGACAAGAAAAACAACAGAATTCTAAAACCTCTGCAATGTGGAAGCAGGCCATTCAGCCCATCAAGTCCACACCAACCCTCTGAACAGCATCCCACCCAGACCCACAACACTACCCTATCTCTGTAACCCTGCATTTCCCATGGTTAATCACCCAAGCCTCCACATCCCTGGGCACTATGGGCAATTTATCATGGCCAATCCACCAAATCTACAAATCTTTGGACTGTGGGAGGAAACTGGAGCACCCAGAGGAAACCCACACAGACACAAGGAGAATGTGCAAACTCCACAAGGACAGTCGCCTGAGGGTGGAATTGCACCTGGATCCCTGGGGCTGTGACGTAGCAGTGCTAACCACTGAGCCACTGAGCCACCTAAATAAAAATAATTCAAACTTCCTCCATGCCACCTAAAGTCCTAAATACAAATATCTTTCTAAATTGATTTAAAGAAAGTTTACAACTAATATTTAACGGTAAGTTTGCCCTTTTCTTGCTAACTTTCCTACAAGCTAGACACACACTAAAAATTAAGTTGCTTTGAATGTACACAGTTTACAATTCAATTCACTTAAAATGAATGGGTACTCCCTTGATAATTTCATGCTACCACTGAATTAATTGAAGCTTTCAAATCTAAATAAAAACTAAAATGTTGCTGCACAGAATTGTGACAATTCAAAGTGTACAAACATATATCACATTAAATTACTGTTCCATTCTTCACAAACTGCAGTCAAAATAACCTTTATATTAATGATCACTGATATACCTGCAAGATGAATAGTTACTCCAGATATCTGCTGGATTTTCACCATTGTCACAATTCATTATTACTCAAAACATCATAAACCAAACTTAAGACAGATACTAAACAAGGGAAAAAAATTCATATTACTTTGGGCTACAGTGGAGCAGCAAATTTGAAACAATAATACTTGTATACCAAAATCCAGCTTTAAGCTGTTCTTTGAATCTCTAAAATCAGGAGATCACAGTGAATTATTGTCTGCCCTATGCCCTTACCCTTGCTGATGTCTCTCCAAACAAAGGCCTGTTGTCTTGCACACTAGTCCCATAAGTTCTTGTGGTGTACTCATCCATTGCGATTTTATATGGTGCACTTTCATGCAGACTAAAATCTTGCTTGTGCTCTCTTATAAGGAGGTTATCCTGAGTACATTGTGGAAAATATATTCACGCATGGAGATATCTAATGGATCGCATTTCAGCTGCTGTCTACTTCCACTTGTTTTTCATGGTGAATGATTCTGAAATAAAAAAAAGTGAGTGAGTCATTATGAACTTGTGCCCCTACAGCTCTTTTGATTTGCTTTGCCATGTGACAGGATGAATAGTTTCCTTTGTACAAACCCACTGTCCCCCAACAACACATGCCACAGCTTAGACAACATTTTTATGTAACTTAATTTTAATTACATTAACCTATCAAGCTCTTCAAATACACTTAACACTACACAAAGACATTTCCTCATTAATGGCAACAGCAGGCAAATAAACTTTAATATCTAATTTTCTATAAAGAAGCCCATTCCAAAATTACCAGCTATATAATAGAGTCATTGTTCAGATTTTTAGAAATTTTATTGAAGCAAATCAACTTCGAGCAAAAGATATTTCAAATGTTGAAAACCTATAAATCAGAAAAGGGAAGAAACACCGAACATGTTTGGCAACTTCTATGGAGAAAAAAATAACAAGAGCTAACAATTTGTCTCAATGGATTTTTGTCATGAACTGATGACCATGCTGCTCTATCTATAGTTGCTGCCTGACTTGCTGAGCATTTGCAGCATTTTTCAGTCTTAAACCGTAAAAGAATCTGTGCGCATTGCAATTGGTTAAAAAGGTATTGTGAAACGATCAATCTCTATATGCAGAACATTGCATCAAGATAGTGAATAACCTCTCCATACAATTACTAAATTCACACAAATAGTCAAAACGTCTTTGCTTGATATAGTGCAAAATTTGATTTCCTCAGTATGGCATACAGAGATAGGTATAAATAGCACGTTGGGAAAAAAAAGTGTTAATTTCACCTCCCCAACTTCCCATTTCAAAGCAAGATACTTTACTCTGAAGTCTATTATTTTACTGTAGCAAAGGACAGTAAATTCCATATCAAGGACCTTCTACAAACATTGACACGCTCCTCACACCATACTCTCTCTGAAGATGGCATGAACTGTTAAAAGCCAAAGAGTGATATTACTGCAGTAACGTTTGGTTAAAATATAGTATACAGCTGCTGACCTGTTCAACACAAGTAGAAATAATCAACAGTCCAATGATCTGATATGCACAAAGGCCCGTTCTCAGGACCTAAACATTCCAGAGTCCAACTTTAAAAAGCAAAGGCTGCTGGAAGATATTGGAGACATGCATTCTTCGACTGATCGAAGTGACTCGCCTCCATGTGCCATTTCCTCATTTAAAAGGCTCATTTTGCACACATAAGATTCATATTACCTAAATCAAAATTCTGGGAATCAAATTCTACGTCCTGTACAGGATTTCCTTCAAAGGAAAACTTCAAATTAAAGATTGGCCTTTCAATGCAATACATGGTGTTGGGGTCAGCATAAGCAATGTTACTTACCCCTGACCTGGAAGAAAGTTGCCCACAAGGATTAATAATCTGTCGCAAGTAATCCTTCTTTCCCAACTTTATTTTGATCCTGGCATCAAGTCAAAACCAACTTCGGTTTTGAACAGCAGCAATGTCATCAAGCAGCTTATCACACTGAAACATTCTCACAGATGGAGAACAAGGAAGTAAAAAGCAGTTCTGGTGAAAGATCACAACCTGTAATACTGACTCTTGCTTTCTCTCTACTTCCTGCATTTTCTGTTTTTATTTCAGGAAATTAAAATCACTGACTAACATTACTTTCTAATATTTAAACGTAATTTAGGCAAAACAAATTAAAGATTGGGATATACATGCTGGATTCGGCTAGAACTTAAAATACCGCAAACTTTTAAAAATATTAAAAACATAGAACTTTATAATTTGACATTCCACAAATTTTTTTAAAAAACAGCTTATAAAGATCACAATTTGTTTGGCAGCGAGTATCAAGTTTAGCACCACTAAAAATCCAGTTACACCACATTCAACAAGCCATAGCCTCAGGGTTTTCACTATGACACTATAGCATAAAAGTGCACGTTCACATCAATTCGATGATTTCTACCTGATTACATCTACAGGGACTTCAGTAGAACATCCTTTGCCGAAGCACACTCTCTGAAAGCAGTTTCTAGATTTCCATATTTAATTGTACATATGTGGACTCCAGAAGAAGCTGCAGTTTCAGAGGGATGAGAAGGACGACAAAGTTTCATAGTTATTACTGCCAAAAAAAAAACACGGGCTATTTCATTACTTTTATTTAAAAAGATGCACAACATACCAGCTCAATTCATCTGACTGTTTCTTATTAACTAAACCTTTCCCAATATCCTAGGCTGTATGAGACAGCAGGCAGCGAATAATGGAGTGCTGCTTGGATCAATGCTGGGGCCTTAGCTTTTTAACCATTCTACATTAAATGACTTCGATACATACTCTGTCTCTTCAGTTAGATTTCCTAATGATACATAGCTGTGTGGAAGTTAAACTATGGGGAGGATAGAGAAAAGATGCAAAGAGATGGCAGAGAGTTTATATGAGTGGCTAACAAGAATGGAATATCACGTGGATATATCCCAGTGAGAAAGGAGGATTCTAGGAATGGAATAAACAAACTAAGAACAACCCAGGGATGTTAAGGACCATATCAAATTGAAAGAAAAGGCAATGCAGCAAAGACAAGTGGTAAACCACAGGATTGAGAGAGTTTTAAACTAAAACAAAAGGGAGAAAATAAACAAGTACTAACAGAACAGACATCAAGGGCTTCTTTAAATATATAAAAAGAAAGAGGCCAAAATGAACAAGACTCCTTACAGAGTGAGGCTGGGGAAATAATAATGTGGAATCAGAAAATGGCAGAGCAGTTGAATAAATACTTTGCATAGTCTTCATGGTGGAAGACTTCAAAAACAAAAAGGAGACAAAAACAGAAACAGGTAACTACAGACCATTTAGCTTAACATATGTCACTGGGAAAAGAGTAGAGTATATTATAAAGGAGAAAATAGAACATTTAGAAATTCATAACATAATCAAGCAGAATCAACATGGCTTCATGAATGAGAAATCATGCTCACAAATTTTAGATTTTATTTTGAAGTAACAAGCAGAATGTCAATGTAATAGATTTTGATTTCCACAAGGTGTTTGATAAATACCATACATTAGGCCACTAATAAAAGATAATACTCCCTTGGTGTTAGGGATAGTGCATTAGCATGGAGAGAGAAATGGCTAATAGAAAACGGAGTCAGAATAAGGGAGGGGAGTTCAAGGCGGCAACCTGTAATTAGTGGAGTGTCACAGGGGTCAGTGCTGAAGCCGCAATTATTTGCAATATATTTAATAACTTGGATTGAACTGAATTGAATTAGATTTATTGTCACGTACTCACACGAGTACAGTGAAAAGTTTAGAAGTCACCACTTATGGCGCCATCTCAGGTACAAAGGCACCTAGATACAGAATTTTGATACAAAGCAGAAAAATAAAGAAAACAAAGTTTAAAAAGTTAAACATTACAGTCTTTCTGACTAAAAAGTAGAAAAACAAAAACATATGATGATGGTATGAAAGGAATTTATGAGGATAGGTTGAGTAGGTTGGGCCTGTACTTGTTGAAATTTACAAGAACCTGGCATGATTTTATTGAAACATACAAGATGCTTAGGAAGCTTCACCGGGTAAATGCTGAGGTTGTGTCCCCTTGTGGGGGAGTTGAGGCATAACCTCAGAGTAAGTGGTCACCCTGTTTGGACAGAAATTAGGAGGAATTTCTTCTCCCAGAGGGTAGTAAATCTGTGGAATTCTTTACCACAGAGAGCTGTAAAGGTGGGGTCAGTACGTTTATTCAAGAATGACAGACATTTTAAAAATCAGTATGGGGCTCAAAGGTCATGGGGCACAGACAGGACAGTGGAGTTGAGGACTATCAGATCAACCCATGACCTCAGTGAATGGCAGAACAACTTGATGGGCCCAATTGCTTACCTCTGCTCTATTTAAAAGTGCCAAAACTTTCAGAAATATCTGGAACACACAATGAAAATGCCTCTTAAAAACAACATTCCAATATGGAACAGAAACACCAAAAAAGATGAAGGATCATGTACAATCTGATCAACTCGACCTCAACACATCAGGTTCTCATTTATTCATCCACAGAAGTCAAGGTTCAGCCACATAACCACGATAAAAGTGTTGAGATCCATCACATTCTCCTAAAACTCTCATACTAACCTTACAAAAATTCAGGATTGCATATGGTTAAAAAAAGCCTTTAAATTTGCCAGGAATAGTAATTTCAGTTTTATAGAACACAAAGCAGGAGCAAGAAACAGTTAAGCGAAAGTAGAACATGAATGCAACCTCATGAAAAATAAAAGTGAACTGTAAAAACTTCAATCGGTACAGAAAAGGAAGCACTTCACACAAATGTGGGCCCATTAAAGGCAGAGTCAGGAAAATGTACAATGGAGAAGCAACAAAATGGCAGAGAAGTTAACCGATTACTTTGTCTGCTTTCATTAAGGAAGATACTAGAAATCTCCCAAAAGTAGAGATTCAAGTGGCTTGGGAGAATGAGGAGTTAAAGGAAATTAGCATTTGTAAGACTGTACTGCAAAAACTAACAGGGTTGAAAGCTAATAAATCCCCAGGACCTGATAGTCTACATTTTACAGCATTAAAGTAGGTGTTTATAGAGATAGTTGATGCATTGGTGATTATCTTCTAAGCGTCCATAGATTCTGGAAAGGTTCCCGCGGATTGAAAAGTAGCAAATGGCACCCCCACCCTACTATTTCCGACAGCAACAGAGAAAATAGCAAACTACAGACCTGATGGCCTTACATGAGTAATAAGAGAAGTGTTAGAATCCACTTAAGAATGGGATATATAGACATTAGCAATAGTTGTTAATGATCAGAGTGAGCATCATCAACATGCTTTGCACATGGGAAATCACGTTTAATGGAGTTTTTTTGGAAGCTGTTAGTAACAAAACTGAAAGGACAGTCATTGGATACAGTACCTAGATTTTCTGAAGAATTTTGATGAAGTCCCCTACAGGCAGCTTGGTAAAAACGTTAAAATATGTGAAATGGGAGG